CACATGATCATATAGTATAGACTTGATGCTTTCTCTCTCTGTGTGTGTGTGTGTGTGTGTGTTCTATACTGGGCCTGAAGTTGTGTGGTGGGGTAGAGCTTAATTTTAGTCTTTGAAATGAATTGAAAATTAAGTAAACAAGATAATAAAAAAACAAACAAATTACAAACAGAATAACAAATAACTGTTTATTTATTATTTAATTAAATTATTACTAAATTATTAACAATTTAAACTACTGAAGTTTGTTTTTAATTAAAATTAATGACAGAGTGCAGCAAATTTATTAGGCTGCTGTCACTTTAAGAGTCACACAACCTTAGTGTGGCGGGAATTTCCCACAGTATGAACAATACACTCAATCCAGCACCAAAGTCCTGTTATAGTAGTGGCTAAAGGGTTGTGTGTGTGTCTGTGTACTCTCATGTACATTTCCTAACACTGTAGAGTGTTTTTTGCTAATAACACCTGCTGTAACATCTCCAAACCTAACCTCTCTTTCTCCTTCCTTCTGTGCTCCTCGAGCAGTTCTGGGTTGCTGTATAATTTTTCCCTGAACTTTGTCAACCTGGCCTTTGCTAAAGCTTTTTTTTCTCACTTGATGACTGTCTACAATGGAACAAATCATAAATCAAAATATCAACAGTTAGCAAATTTTAAATTAATATTAAATTCATAAGACATATTTAAAAGTCATACACAATATGCTTAGATTCTCATTCCCGAAACATAAATTCTCTTTACCGCAACTGGCCTTAAATGGTTGTGGTATATGATAATGGTGTTGCGGAGGATGAGGTGCCTCAGTATGTTTTGCTAACAATAGAGAAGCCATAATGGCTTTGCTAATTTTTTCTCAGTGCATATTATTAGACCTTAATAAAGTACATTTTCATTAAAAAAATTGTAGACCTAACAATTTTTCGAAATGTAGAAAACTTCCTGTTTTGGTAATGATAATCAAAATGTTGTGTTAACATTCTGACAATATAATATTTAATATTTAACTGGAGATCTATAAAGAGATTGTCTTACCTAGTCTTGAAGTAACTGGCCCATGTGCTTCTTCACTCAAAATCAAACTTTATTTAATTTCTGTATGTGTGTTTAAACCAGGGCTGTCCAAACTCGGTCCTGGAGGGCCGGTGTCCTGCAGAGTTGAGCTCCAACCCTAATTAAACACACCTGAAGCAGCTAATCAAGCTCTTACTAGGCATAGAAACTTCCAGTCAGGGTGTTGAGGCAAGTTGGAGCTAAACTCTGCAGGACACCGGCCCTCCAGGACCGAGTTTGGACAGCCCTGGTTTAAACAGTCCTTAAAAAATGTTGCGGAGGATGAGAACATCAGGCATGGACACATCATTTTCCTACTTTATTTTCATTATCATTATAAATGAATATTCAGTGAATTATTTTTTCTGTCATCTAAAATAATCTAGTAGAACATCCATTTATTTTATGTCTAAATATTTTTGTTAATTTGTTTTAATTACGACATAACACGCATTTGAACACAGCCTGATGCATTGCGGTAATTTCAGCAGAAAATGCAGTAAAATAGAAAAATAATTAATTCCTTAAGTTGAAATTACACATTGTGCAAGGTAGAGAACAGTATTGTTTTTATTCTGATGCTTTTTTATATTACTATGTTACATGTTTTATATTTAAAATCATTAGTGCCGTGGTGTTTTAATGGTTTCGTGAGAATCACCCATATATACATACATATATATATATATATACACACATATATACATACATGCTAGTAACTTGCTAATCATCCTAACAACATGCTAATCATGCTAAAAACATGTAAGCGAATTGCTAGTAACTAGCTAATCATGCTAGTAGCATGCTAATAATGCTAGCAACATGCTTGTAACATGTTAATCATGCTAGACAAATGGTAGCGACATGTAAGTCACTTGCTAATAATGATAGAAACGTGCTATCGACATGCTAGTAACTTGCTAATCATGTTGGCGAAATGCTAGTCACTGGCTAATCATGCTAGCAACTTGCTAGTAGCATGTCAATCATGCTAGAAACAGGCTAGTCACTTGCTAATCATGTTAGCGACATGCTAGTCACTTGTTAATCATGCTATAAAAGAGCTAGCGGCATGCTAGTAATTACTAATCATGCTAGCGACATGCTAGACACTTGCTAATCATGCTAGCAACATGCTAGTAACATGTTAATCATGCTAGAAAAATGTTAGCGACATGTTAGTAACTTTTTTTTGTTAAACATGCTAGCGACGTGCTAGTCACTTGCTAATCATGATAACAGCATGCTAGTATCATGTTAATCATGCTAGAAACATACTAGCAACATGCTAGTAACTTGTTAATCATGGTAGCGTCATGCTAGTAACTTGCTAATCATGCTAATAACATGCTAGCTACTTGCTAGTCATGCTAGCAGCATGCCAATCACTTGCTAATCTTGATAGCAACATTCTAGTAACATGCTAATCAATTTAGAAACATGCTAGCGACATATTTGCAAATTGCTAATCATGCCAGCAATATGCTAGTAATGGGTTAATTACGCTAAAAACATGCTAATCGTGCTAGAAACATGTTATCAACATCTATCTAATCTATTTAAATTTTCAAACTTCAGGCTTTTACAACTGCTTTATACTTTCAGGCTCGGCTTTCTCAAGCCAACATAAAGTTTGTCTTGACAAACCTTTTTATCTAGTCTAAAACAAGATCTTAATTATAACGTATGCAGCCTACAAATGCGACCTCCAGAGAATGCAGCCTTCCATTTGAGAAATGGCCTAAGTCTAAGACTATTTAAAAATAGGGCGATGTGGCCAAAATTTCAATCACAATATATTTCTTAATTTCTGCCGACACAATATAAACAATAATAATTTTTAAAAATCCTCAGAAAAATTGCCAAGAACGCCCACAACAGATGTCTGTACCCACAACTTGTGAAAAAGGAATTTGCCAAGTCTATAAAACGTCCTATAAAACTATATCATATTTTAGAAAACAAATGGCAAAAATAAATGAATGGTCACCTTTTATTTGTATTTAGCCTTCATACAAATGAGAAATGTGAAATCACTGTCAAATAAACATAAGACTCTCAGTCTCACCTTATTAATATTAATATATTTAACTTAAACTATAACAGGCTGATTATTCTTATAGATTGAAACAAAAGTGCTTCAGCCAGGATAACGAATATGAAAAGTGCTCGGAGTTGTGGCAGAAAACAGAAAAAAAAAAGAGTGAGCAACAACAAAAACATATTGCTGTGGGCAGACTCATTCTCTGCCAGCAGGAGGAGCTTTAGAGCAAAGACTAGACTGTGCACTCCTAATACTTATGAATGGGAGAAAGTACAACGCCCAATATGGCGAATAAGCCCCGCCTACTAAATGAAAGAGCCAATCGTTGATTAGTAAAGTCATTGCGTCACTGCACAGCTGCCTTTAGAAGCTCCGGTTCCTATAAAAACAGGCAGCGTTTGCAAACTCGCGCTCATGACGGCGCATGCGTATTGGCTGCTCTAGCCTGAAAAATAAGCCCTTTTATCGCTATTTCAGCATAAGAAACAACAATTATGAGGCAGTTGTTGTAAGATTCCATTGGTAATTTCAAATATGAAATTTAATTGTAAGCTTGGTGAAAAGTTTTGGATAATTTGATGTTTCCTCATTCAAAGAGATAGGAGCTGCACTTGCATTCCCGGGAGGCGTTTTAAAGATGGCCGCCAAGTGAAATTACTTGTCTCAAAGGGACTTTAGCCATTTTTCAGTACTAAGTATGCAAAGTTCGGACTTGCATGCTTGGTAGTTTGGACTTTGCAAGTTCGACTCGGGAGTGTGAACTCTTGGGGACGGGAGGACGGAAGTCCGGTAATTCTGCAAATGGAACAGCAGCTTACTTGATAACGTCAGTTAGCTCGCCTTGGCTTCTCCTCATTATATGTATATTTACAGTAAGTCGAAATATGATATTAAACACCACTGCCTCTTTTCGTTTTCATTTAATCATAGTAATAGCTGCAGAAATGTAGTTCAGGGAATGTATATACATTACAATGAAACAAAATATGATATCAAACGGCACTGCCTATTTTCTGTTTCATTTAAACATATTAATAGCCACAAACTTGTGGTTCATGCAACGCATACACACAATACAATAAAACGAAATGACATCAAACACCACTGCCTCTTAGTTTTCTTCACTGTGTGTATCCGTAACAAAACAAATTATAAAACACAACCCTCTTTTCGTTTTCATTTTAAAAATATAAAACCTATTAACACGTGGTTTAGGCAATATGTCCACATATACTCTGATTATCTTCACTGTATGAATAATAAAATGAAATATTACATAAAGCACAACTCTACCTTTTTTGTTAAATAGCCTATCAGTTTTAATGAACAATAATAGCCAAAAGTATAAGTATGAAGTATAAGAGACTTGTGTAATAGGAAATAAAGACAAAAGCAAACAATTCAGTCAAACGTTTGCTACAAAGTCAATGCTGTACTATGATTAAATTAAATAAATATATATGCATATATAGATGCAGCCTTGATAAAAGGGGCAGAGCAAGAACACATCCGCTGCCATTTTAGATTTAGTTTGTTCTAACAGAAACAATCTTTAGAGCGATTTAATAAGAGATGGAGCAGCAAATAAGGTACACTTTTTTCAACAAAATGTATGTTAGATAATTGTGTAGTTGATCAAACATATTTAATAGTTCTCCTTATAGAAACATGTGATTTGTGTCTATAATATTTTAAACATTATATTTTGAAGATCAATGTACCTCATTCATTAAAAGTTTCAGGGAGGTAAAATTTATAAAATTGCATCAAAAGGAACACAGTTTTGAATAGAAATGGTCTGTTACACCAGGGTTGACTTTTATGTACTTTCACATTTCTGTTTTTGTTTGTTTGGTTGTTTTTCAAGTTTCTGACAAATGAACTGTTTTTGCTTTTATTTTAGAGTTTATTGAAGAAAGTGATGAGAACGAAGAATTGAGAGAAGATGAGGAGAAACAACATCATGTCAAAACTGGAGAAAAACCTTTGAGTTGCTCTCAAACCAAACATAAAGATTTAAAGAAAAGAGGAGCCAAGAAATCTTTCACCTGCACTCAGTGTGGAAAGAGTTTGACAAACAAATATAGTCTTGATGTTCACATGAGAGTTCACACTGGAGAGAAACCGTTTACTTGTAATCAGTGTGGGAAGAGTTTCACACAATCATTAAGCCTAAAGAAACACATGAACATCCACACTGGAGAGAAACCTTACAAGTGTTCACACTGTGACAAGAGATTCAGTCAGTCAACACATCTGAAGAAACACAAGGTAGACCACACTGGAGAGAAACCGTACACATGTGATCAGTGCGGGAAGAGTTTCACACAAAAAGGACACTTTATGACACATATGAGAACTCATAAAGGAGAGAAGCCATTCATATGTAATCAATGTGGAAAGAGATTTGCATACTTAGCAAACCTTAACGAACACATGAATATCCACACTGGTGAGAAACATTACAAGTGTTCACACTGTGACAAGAGATTCAGTCAGTCAACACATCTGAAAACACATGAGAGGATTCACACTGGAGAGAAACCTTACAAGTGTTCACACTGTGACAAGAGATTCAGTCAGTCAACACATCTGAAAACACATGAGAGGATTCACACTGGAGAGAAACCTTACAAGTGTTCACACTGTGACAAGAGATTCAATCAGTCAACACATCTGAAAACACATGAGAGGATCCACACTGTAGAGAAACCGTACACATGTGATCGGTGCGGGAAGAATTTTGCACGGAAAGGAATCCTTATGACACATATGAGAATTCACACAGGAGAGAAACTGTACACATGTAATCAATGCGGGAAGAGTTTGATTAGCAAATATAGTCTTGAGCTTCACATGAGAGTTCATACTGG